AGTCCATGCTGCTGTCTATGTCACGCAGTCGCCCGGGGCATCATGGGGTTTCTCTGTCTGCATGTTACATGAGAAAGAACATGGGGTTTCTCTGTCGAGGTCTTTGAATGCTGCTGAGAAAGGCTTCTGAAGATGGATGGATCGGGGGGGGGGGGGGCTTGCCTTAGCGATGCAGAGCTAACCAGACACACAGACAGCTAACCAAGCAGCCTGCCCCCTTGTTACTGTAAATCCCCCCCGAAATGCGGCTGGAAGTCTGCAATTCCGCGACTGGTCGCTGACAGGTGTGTACGTGACCTGCGTTGTCATCGAGCCACCCCCCCCCCAGAAAGCTAATGGGTGCTAATAGCTGTAGCCACAAAGCATTAGCACGGCTCAGCCGCACAGAACGCACCTTTCATTACTGCCGTAGCCCGACACGCTACAGCTGCCCCTAATGACACACAGGTATGAAGGGGATGTGTGGGACCATTCAGCCTAGCGGTGATGGGATCCCGATATGGGCTCTGTGTGCTGGAACAGACCATAATCACCCCTAATTATCCATGTCTTCTGCTCACTTGGGGAGCAGGATCTCTGTGCACGCTGTGATATATCTCTGTCTGGCTTGTCATTCTTCCGCGGATTTGCCCTGAGCAAAATCGATTTTGGATGTGACTGCAGGGCTAGCTTGGCATGTGGAGTTGGATTGTTTGGTGACGACCTTCAGCTCAGCGTTGTTTGGTCAGCCAGCTGACTGTGCTTGAGGCTGATGCCCTTTCCCTGGGACACATACGGTGACAGACGGCCCGCTTGTTTGAACTGGGTGGACGTCTGACATGTGCTGCTGCTCAGGGCTGTTTTCCATCCAGCGGCAGTGTGACATAGCAGAGAAGCTTCTGGGTCTGGGTGAAGACCGCTGCTACGTGAAGTTCCACACTCAGCCTCCTGGGGGCGGTCTGTGTCGCATCCTGTCCTCAGAGAGAGCCAGACTTCAGGCAGCGGGAGGGGAGAATGTAGTTTTGCTTTATAGAGGGACCCTACAAATCAGGGAGGGATGAAAGACGGAAGGTCACGGAAGGCCGCCATTCCCATCCTGATCCCATGGAGACTGATTTCAGGCCACGTCGCGGAAAACGCCACTGAAGAGAAGAGCTAAAATAAACCGGCAACACTTCAAAGCCTCGAGGAAACGTTCACACGTAAAGCTAACGGTGGGGGCTCGTCAGGGAAGTGCGTAAGCACTGCTTTACCATTTGTGCCTGCAGGGGGCGCATGTGAGTTAATGGCCTCTTGCTGAGAACTGCTGGACCCAAGGAAGCTAATTATATCTCCAGCAATAATAGTTGGAGGAGAGCTTTAATTATGGAAGCACAAAGCAATTAGACGACCCCCAGCTGTCTGGACATGCTATGGGGGGGGGGGGGCAGTGCTGGTGTGCAGACGGCTCACAGTGTGACTGCAGAAAGACATCAGATAATGATAAATCTGTTATTTGCAGTATGAGTGCAGGTACATTGGAATTCTTCACTCTGCCGACCCCATCTTGCTCTCCAAAGCTTGGGGTCACAGCACAGGGTCAGTTAATGTGGGGGGTGGTGGGTTAGGGCCTGGCTGAAGGGCCCACGGACATGTGAGTGTTCTGTCAGGGCTCAAACCGGTGACCTTCTGATCACATGCACAGAGGCTTAGCCTGCTGAGCCACACGCTGCCCCATCTGTACGCCAACTGTGTTGAGGGCAGAGGTGGCGTCCAGTAACTGTAACTGTCATTCCCCAGATCTCTGTGCGCTTAGCGACGTCAGATGCTGGGTTTGATGCAGGAGCCGTACGAAGGAGGGATGTGTCTATGAGCGGAGATGTGACTGCCGGCTCCAAAATGAATGGGGAAAGAGAACTGTGTAATTACACAGCAGCAATCGGGATTTATGCCAGTTTCATTTTTATAATTGTGTTTTTTTTTTCTAACTTTTACTTGGATGCCTTGAATTTTTTTTGGAAAGGATGATTCTGGTTAGACAAAATCATTACTGAAACATTTCAGGTTAAGGTGCTCAATTCGTTCTCACATTTACTTAAAATCCCGTTTCGTGCCCTTTTAACATTTTAACATCTATTTAGTAAAAGTGGCTTTGAGGTTTAATAATGGCTAGCAGGACAGAGTAGGCTGTACTGCCCCAAGCAGCTGCATGTGGTGATTGGTGCCGTCATTGTTGTTGCTGAAGAGGAGTGCGGATCACATCATCCTTCGCATTACTGTCCAGGTGCAGGGAGGATTGTTATCCACAGTTCAAATGCATCACTCGCATGCAGTATACGAGAGCCGCCTCTGTCTGCAGCTCTGCGATGCGCTCGCTCTGGGCCCCGTGGAAGATGCGGTCGCGGGCCTTTTTATTATTGTTATTTGTTATAAAATGCGTCACTCGCATGCGGTATGCGGAAGCCGCCTCTGTCCGCAGCACAGTAACATGTTTGCTCTGGGCCCTACCGAGGATGAGGTCGCGGGCCTTTTTATTATTGCTATTTGTTATAAAATGCGTCACTCGCAAGCGGTACGTGGGCGCTGCCTCTGTCCGCAGGTCCGCGATACGCTCGCTCTGGGCCCTACCGAGGATGTGGTCGTGGGCCTTTTTATTATTGTTATTAGTTATATGGTGCGCCACTCGCATTCGGTATGCGGAAGCCACCTCTGTCCGCAGGTCCGCAACGCGTTCGCCCTGGGCCTCGCCAAGGAGGCACTCGCGGGCCTTTTTATTATTGTTATTTGTTATTTCAAAGTCAGGCAGGATTGCTCAGCCCATTGCACATCCCTCTGCCTGCAGGACTAGTGGCAGGAATGATACTTGACTGATGGTGCAGCGTAACCTCCAAACTAATTGGTACTGAGAGGAGCCGTTCCTCCCGCGGAGGGGAGGGGGGACCTAGTAGCTGAGCGGAGGGCAGGCTGCTGGCTGGCCTTCTCCTCCCCCCTCCCAAGACGCCAAGAAGCTTTACTCCCACTCCATCATGCTGGGTTGCCTTGTGAAGGCGCACAGTGTCTGCATGGAGCCCCCTGCTGGCAGAGCAGAGCACTGCCTTTCCCTGTTGTAAGCGTGCGCTTGCTGCCCCAGGTGCAGAGTGGCACAGTCCTGATCGCCAGGTCCCTGTGATCCAAGGCCAGCTTGTCACAGTGTTTTCACACCTATTGGTTCTAAAGGTCTTTTCTATGCAGGTCGATGGCAGAAACTCATGTGACAGTTACTGTATGTCCTGCTTTTATTTGACATTTCTCCGCAGGCTCATTTTCTTTCCTAAAATAACTAGGCCAACCTCCGTCTGTTCAGCAAGTCATAGGAACACTTCAGGCATAATTCAAACTTACGGCCTACTGGAGGGTCCCCCCTCTGTCCTGGGTTCGGAGAGTGACAGCTCAGCGACGCAGTGACACAGACCTCATCTGTGGTCAGCCTGAAGCTCACTGGCCTCTCGACGATGCGCTCAGCAGACGAGCAGGTGACTGTGGCTCCCTGCAGTTTGTCTTGTTCACACGACTCGTATTACATAGATGGGGAAGGTCTCCGCCAGTGTGCGCCTCATCCGCACCTGAAGAAGCGATTTCCCCCCGTCAGCCTCTTCCTCTCCAGCCCACGTCGCTCACTGCTTCTCAGCGGAAACATCTGTCTCCAAGGTTAATGAAGAAGACATCGAGGAGGCTCAGCCTGGGATAATGAGCTGTACTGGTTGCTTTGCGGAGCCCGATCCCAGACTGCGCCGAGTCCTGGCTGGAGGGTAACTGCCTTATTCATCTGATGTTTTCAGGCTGTGGTGAAGTGATGCTGCTCCCTTGGAGATGAAGCCTCGGGAGAGTGTCACCTTAAAGTGGAAATGCCTTGGAGCACAGGGCTAGGGCCACAGACCACAGGTTAGGCAGGGAAATCTGTGCTGCAATGGGATCACCGGCTCAGGAGGGGCCCGCAGGGACAGCCGACCGACCCCTTTAAAAGGGTTGGGATCCAAAAAGCCTTTTCCGGCATGTTGGGGCTCGACATGAGGCCACTGCAGAACTGGACTGGGTCCTTGGATTATGTAGCGGATGGGACCTGTGACTGTGCCTAGTGGGAGAGATGGAAACGGAATGTAGCAGCACAGTGCAGACAGCTCATCTGCTGGGGGCCCCTGGGAATGGAGAGGGGGGGCCGTCACTTCCCCTTCCTGCAGCGGCGTGATGCTGGATCTAAGCAGATGGATGGCTTAATGTCCCCCACAGCTGGAGAGATGTAACCTCTGTTAATATATTAAAGCAGTGTTTCCCAACCCCCTCGGGGGCCCACAGATGGTCCATGTTTTTGCTCCCTGCCAGGAGTCAGCAGAAACGTCCCTGAATACTGGGCTGTGAGACGCTGTATTAAAGGCCTAAGCTTCCGACGTGTTTACAAATTTCCAATAAAAACGAAACGTGCAATATTTGGTCTTGTTGAAGGTCTATTTTAAAGGATTATCCTGCTACCATATACATTTCTGGAACTTCCAAAACCAAGCAATCAATTTTTCATGCAAAAATCAGAAATTTGATTGTTACAGACATATTAGTCGTCATTTTGCTTTCATGTAAGACTCTTATAACAGATCACTGTGCAGTACCTCATCACTCCTCTTGCTGAGTGTACATGTTTGTCCTCTTCTAACTTAGTTAAGACAAACCCAGGTTTGTTACCGCTTCTTAGTTGCTCAATATACTTGTCCAGTATAGAAGGGTAAACATGCCTTGACCCCGAGGGTGTAGGTTTGGACTGGTAGGGATCAAATCAGCCCCCCCCCCACAAACATACACAGTACTCCCACAGGATTGGTCAGGGCATATTGTTACTATCCACACCCAAATCTACACCCTTGCTGTACTCCAAGACACTCACCGGTGTAGAGGGTGGATTTCATAACCTGTTGTATTGTTCATGTAGCAGTTCTGACCTGGATGTTTAACTTGAGGAACACGGCAAGATCACAAAGGCTGGTTCACAGTTTTCGGTTTGTGTGTCTGGGCAGCGGAACAGGACGGCGCCCCCTCCCCCCACCAGTGGCGGTCCAGAGGCCTCAGGTTCAACCTGTCCCAGATCCCTGAGGGTGGGGCCATCATGGCCTCGGAGCTGCGGCTCTACAAGGCAGCCGTCACCGAGGCCTTCAGGAATGAGACGTTGGTCGTCAGGGTCTACCAGGTGATACAGGAGCGGTGGGACAGGTACGAATGCATCCACGCACAGCTGGGACGGGCTTCTGACTGGGGAGGCCTGGACTACTGGCCAGTCCCCCCACAAGTAATACCTAATAAACCATGAATGAATCAATCAGTTATATTGCGGATTGTTTAAAGCATTAATGTTTTTCGTTTTTGTTATTTTGTGTGTTTTTCTTTCAGCTTTACAGAAAGTGTTTTTACGATCTTCTTTCCCCACATTTTGCCTTTTCGTTTTCTCCTCATTTCTGCGGCCACACGGACCAAAACACTTGCGAAGACCTTCTGTGATCTTCACAATCAATCTTTATTTCTAGGGAAGCCGCCCTGCCGCCTGCCACCACTCATTTTCACCTGGTGGCTTCTGGCAGCCGGCCAGCACTAATATCGCTATTTCCTCGCACAGAAGAGACAGTTTGTAGTCAGTCCTACAGGCAGTTTCCACTGGAGCGGGACGCGTGCGGGCAGGCGGGCAGGCAGGGAAGGCGGGCAGCGCACACTGACGCTCACAGTCCTGCCAACCTGTCTCTGAGCAGGTGGAATTACAGCAGCGGTGAAAGGGCACGTTTAGCTCTGTCCAGGCCAGTACGCCAAGGTGCGGTTGGAAAATGCGCACCCCTGAGGCATTGATTACACCAGTGCGGGCAGTGGGCCCTGAACGAGGATTAATGGAGTGCTAGCAAGCGTGCGCAGGTCTTCTCGCCACGGGAGACATTTCCAGCCTCTTCGTTTGCACAGCGTCTTGTTTTAGCAGAGGGACGACCGCAGGAGCTTCAGAAATAGCCCTGCTGGGGTGTCCAAAAAAGTGTCTAACCAACTCACGTCAAGCAGTTACCGCGTGGGCGATGGGAAGTCTGCTGCTTAACCAGCCAATAAAATCACAGGCCTTTATTTACGCTAGAAACAGAGTAAACAATAGTGCCTAAAATATGCACTGTATGCATTCACTTTGTGTCGTTTAGGAAAAGCACGCGAGTCGTGTGTTTTCACAGGTTCACTAATTAGAGAGTGAGGAACCAGTTTATAGGAGCAACCAGTTTATTCGCAATAAATCAGTCCCTCTTCTGATTTCTTAAACATTGCTCTTTGTGATAAGCTGTAATTTTTACCGTGATAAACACGGTGCCCTGCAAAGTGTCCCTGTTCTGAGATGCGCTTGGATAGATTTCTGTCCTGGAGATATTTGCCCACAAGGAGCATAGAAAGCTCAGGAATTTCAGCGGAGGTCTTACCTTGAAGGACGTTGGTGGACTTTCCTCCTGGTGTTTCCACTCTCCTGAACGCTGAATGTCATGCAGCACATACATCTATCTGCTGACAGATTAATGCTAAGGTTTCTGAAGTCTTCACAGTGTAATTGCTTTGATTGTAGCTCTCTGTCTTTAATAAGTATATTGGTCTTGAGCAGAATGAAGAACAGGCAGAGAGGCACATGCTGCAAATGTGGGAGATGCAGACGGGCCAGTGTCTGTGCGCTAAAGCGGCACAGCTAGAGGAAGGCACAGCTAGAGGAAGGCACAGCTAGCGGAAGGCACGGCTAGAGGAAGGCACGGCTAGCGGAAGGCACGGCTAGAGGAAGGCACGGCTAGCGGAAGGCACGGCTAGCGGAAGGCACGGCTAGCGGAAGGCACGGCTAGAGGAAGGCACGGCTAGAGGAAGGCACAGCTAGAGGAAGGCACAGCTAGCGGAAGGCACAGCTCTGATGTTTTATTTACCTCTGCTTCTGGTGTCTTTGGCAAAATTAAGTTATTTCTGGAGAGAGAAAAACAGAACTGTGTTTTTTTTCTCTTATCGCCTAGCGCCATTCTAGTCAACAATTAAATTTTTTTCCATGCTATAATTTTAGTAGCTAAATTTTCTACTGTCACTTCTACTGGAAGTCAGCTTATAATTCCCCTTTTTACCAACTTCAGCTACTCCCTCAGTTCTCTCCTATTCTTTTCTGTCTTCTTTTGGGTCCATTGGATGGATTTTACTGGCTGCGGTATAAATAGTCCACTATATTGGTGAATTTTACAGAGTTTAACAAGCATAAAAGCAGTAAAGAGATTTACTAGCTATAGCCCCTTGTAACCTAAGAAGTCGATAATGAAGCTTCTGTATCCCTTTAGTGGTCCTGGGCCACACACCTTTGCCTCCGCAAGGTGATTCAACCCAGGGGTACCTCCATGCCAAATGGTGGGGGCTGTGGGGGGTCTTAAAAACCACCCTAAGTAATGGCCAAGGAGGAGAGCCTCCGCAATATAGTGGCAATGCTGCTGGGGCTGGCTGCCAGCCTGAAGCTAAAGCCTTGCTTCACTTGCGGAGAGCGGCTCAGGGGTTGGGGCTGGGGTGCGTGTCTGTGCCGTTCTGTGATATAGTGACGTGGTGTGGTGTACTATCTGAAACCTTGCTTCAGTATTGGAGAGTGGGTCAGGGGATGGTGCTGGGTGGGGGAGATGCATGTCTGTACCCTTCTGTGATATGGTAACAAGGTGTGGTGTACTATCTGCCACGCATTATAGGAAATAAATAAACATGAATGTGGTTGCCTTCTACCAAACCATAAGTATCCCCTGCACGTCTACTGCTCAGTGCTGATCGTTTCTGCTCGTGCTGAGTTGCACGACTCCGTCCATATATTTGGCTGCTATCACTGTTCCTTTGCTGCATTTTGACTTTACCGGTCTGACAGACAGACACGTTCTGGCTTCATAAACATACACGTTCCTTCATAACCCAATTTGCAACCCCTCCTCTTTCAGAGACAGTGAGCTCTTCCTGCTGGAATCTCGCCGGCTTTTGGTTCGAGAGGACGGCTGGCTGGAGTTTGACGTCACGGCTACGAGCAGCCTATGGGTGCTGAGTCCACCCCAGAACCTCGGGCTGCACGTCAGCGTGGAGAGCAGCTTTGGTAAAGCCCCAGACACCTGTATGACATCACTGGAGATGAGTTCTGACACTCCACCCTTTTCCAGACAGCTGTTTGTGCTCCCTGGGATTCGAACCCACTAGGAGCTACATGCCACGGTAACACAGTACTATGTTTGAAGGGAGGACCCTGGACCCAAAGGAGGCAGGGCTCGTGGGACAAGACGGGGCGCAGGAGAAGCAGCCATTCCTGGTGACTTTCCTGAGAGGAAATGAGCCACGCGTACGCTCTACCCACTCCACCCGCTCCACCCGCTTGGCTCGCTCCACCCACTCCACCCGCTCTGGCCGCTCCACCAGCAGGCGGCGCCAGCAGGGCCGCAACCGGTCTACCAAAACCCAGGATGGGCCCAGAGGCAGGGGGATGGCGGGTGCGTGCCACATGCACTCTACACAGAAATGCGTGTAAACACATATGTGCTTCTGTGCTACACAATTACACACACAGACACTACATAAGGCTACACAATTACACACACAGACACTACATAAGGCTACAC